ATATGCTGGTATACAACTTCACCATAACCTAACTTTCTGCTGTCATCTTTTTAGTTAAAATGCCATAACCAATATCTTAAGACATACATATTGGTTTAAAAGGTTTTATCAACTGTTCAAACAGGAGATATAGATCTGGTAGAAATTCTGGGTAAATCATTCGACTCTGTCCGTATTTCATTTTAGAGATTTGTCAAATTGTTGTATAACACTTGAAGACAACACCAAAATATTCTAATAAACCAAAGGCAACATGGACGATGCCATGATTATACATAACCACCCGCCATATTGGGCAAAAATATATTCCTCTATTGAAAATTAATTAATTATGTTTCAGTTCGACATTACAGATATAAAGTGATAAACATTAGTGTAATTGTGTCTAAATTTGTGGAAGATTTAACGCAGATAAGCTTCATCTGAAAAATCTAAACATAATTTTGATCATTATTAAAATATGAATCAAATACGAAGTCCGTACAAATTGCGTAACTACTTTGCACGATAATCACAATCAAATTTGCTGCGCAAGTAATTCAATAGCCCTATATCACCGTGCAGAAGTTTATCGTATACCTGTGTATGAAATTCTCAATGGCCGATATTGTAAGTGAACAAGATGCCTGTAATGTGTAATAAAGTAGAATGACAGACAGTAGAATGACAAAAACTGAATCTTGAATGCTGTGTAACGAAGACTGTATAATCGTGCTTGCAACTCTAATAGGAGTGATAATGGTTATTTGGGTAAATTGCTAATTTAATCTCAGTGTGGATATTGAACAATTCATCATACACCATTTTATTTTGCAAGCTCAATAATGATGAAATATTAAGCGGTAGTTGAAATCCTATTCGGGAGAGTTTTGAAGTCAGGTTATCTGTATGTGGCTCATAATTTAGTCATCCGAAAAATATATGGCTCAGGTCGGCAATCTGACCATCGTGCTCGCAAAGAGAGAAAAGACCGAGTCGACGACTGGGCAACGAAATATTTGTTATAGACACATTTATATTATTCCCATCCACGGAAATCTTTAGTAAATTATACTTATTCGCTTTGAAGGGAAACCAACTTGAGAAGTACTGCTGATTTCGATTAAATCTTTGCACATTGTTACCACGCAAAAGCTTTTTAGTTTATGAATATCGCTCCAGGCCTAAAACAAAAAATTAAAAATCGTTGAACATTTTTTGTCGTTTCGGAGGATCCTGACCACTTTCGAAAAAAATGTTAAAGCAAAAAAACTTGGGGAGGGGGTTGAAGGAGGGTGAGGAGGATTTATCTCAATGTTTTGATGTGAGTACGAGGTTTTTCTGGAAAATACGTATAAAAAATTCGGGGCATCATGTCAAGGCGTTGTGGAGGGGTGGCCCGGTAGTTCCGTCTCTCTATGCAATCCCCTCTATGCCCAGTGCGATCCGGAGCGCTCTGAGAGTAAGTAGGATTTGCGTGTGCTCGTTGAAAGTAACCCTTTTTTATCTGCCGTCGGTATGGAGCTCTATCTGATCGAGGAACACCGCATCAACATCAAGTTTCTTGCAAAGCATGATTGAGATTTTTGAGTGTTTGGAACAAGTTTACAGAGACAATTCTCTGAAGGAACCAACCGTCAACAAGTGGTTGAAAACGTTTCGGATAGTCCGAGAAGATGTGAAAGATGACCAACGCTCAGAACGCCCCTTACGTTGAGCTCTGAGAGAAATGTTGAACGAATTCGGGCCTATGTTCGATTGAGAGTTAGAATGCTCTTGACTCTAGAGCAGAAAGCAAGAAGGGTTGCTTGCTGTAAGGATTGGTTGGAAGCGTAGAAAAGGCGGGACTTTGTCAACCGGGTCATCACTGGAGACGAGTTTTGGTTCTACCAATTCCTTGTAGAGCTGAAATCTCAAAGCATGGAGTGGAAGCAAGCAGGGGAACCGAGAACAAAAAAATCGAAAAATCAAGGTCCACTTGAAACAATGCTGGTTGTTTTCTTTGATTCTCGGGACATTTTCACCAGAAATTTGTCCCTCCCGGCCAGACTGTGAACGGAAATTTCTACATTGAAGTTTTGCGTCGTCTCAGAGCTCGTTTAGCTCGAGTTCGACCGGATTTGACACAAGGGATCCTTCATAACGCGCCTGCTCACACGTCTCTCGTTGGGCATGGGTTTTTGGGCAGAAGCTCAATCACCGTGACAGAACACCCTCCTTATTCACCCGATTTAGCCTTTTGCGACTTATTCCTGTTCCTAAAATGCAAAATTGTGCTTCGGGGCCGGCACTTGGCGGATGTGGAAGCCATCAATGCAGAAACGACACGTCAAATGTAGAGCCTCGCAATTGAAGACTTGTGGAAACAGCGTTGGAAGAAGTACATCTTATCTCAGCGGTAGTACTTTGAAGGGGACAATATTGAAATATCTGATTAATTGTAAAAATAAACTTATTGTTCTACTTTTATACGTATTTCCAGGACAAACCTTGCCTATTTATACTACCCCAAAATTGGTAATTCTACGCACCTATTAAACATATTTCACACTTCATAGTTTTCTCTGTAAAAAATGTAGAGAAATATCCTCGGCAGACGGATCGCGTGCCTACCGGCCGCGGCTGCTGCGGGTGTCGTGCCGCCGGCCTTGATGAGTGTTCTGATATGGTATCACACGTATTTCTGCTTCGCCATAGCATAGTGGTCTCTATTCTGTCACGGTGCCACGCCTGACCAAGGCAAATATGGGAGAGATGTGACGTTTCCACATGGGCTACGGGTAGGACAGGAAAAGAATGTCTATGGACTAATTGTATCGGTATAATCAACTCACTTTTCCCTCAGAGGGTCTAGTTTGTGCTGAACATAATCCTTTATGAACTGATAAGGCCGTTGGGTGCGAAGGGCAGGGTTAAACTACTTGACATCTTTTATACCGTATTTCATACAGAAATATTTTATACCAAACATCTTTTTTTTCGGACTGATTGTGTTGCCTCTCTGGGAAGACTTGACCATCCGCCACTGTCTAGTAGTGATAGTATAGTGGATGGTGCAAAACGAAGATGGCCACGCCTGGTAGCTGCGATTGCATCCCATCTCATTCGTACCGACCTTTAAGCTGCTGGGGTTCAAAGGAAATCCATGCAAGAATCTGCAGCCTATTGTATGTGACTCTCTTGGCCGACCGATGGCGACGTTCGCTCAAGCTATTATCTAATGGCTGACTTTGTTTGACATAGACTGATCGGTGTTTTTCGGTGTAGTGCAGGCGATATGGTAAGAAGTGTACCTGACACTAAAAAAACTATGTGGACAGGGTTGGCTTTTATAAAATTAGCTGAGTGCTCGACTGATGAGGCCATCTTCGCGAAATACGAGAACAAGCAATTCTGTGTTACTTAACGCTCTATTCTCGCTCATTGGTAACTTTAATTACGATTCCGCGAGAATATTGAATATTTTTTGTCAACCAATCATTCTCCAAGATGGAGGTGAAGGAAGATGGTAGCAGGACACCGATAGGGCACAATGTCGTTTCGCAACTTCATTTTAGTCTAAGGTTTCTATCTGATCACTTTGATATTGGTTGAATCTACAATTAGTCCAATCATGTTACACGAAAATACCCCTGATTTGCGAAATAATTGTAAAGCCTGGTTTGAATGCTACAAGTTGTTAAAACATAGACGCATAAAATGGATAAGCCAATTTTTGAGGGAAAACTTTTTATTCGACAACAAACAATGAGAAAACGATTCAATCGAAAATGTTGGCAGAAACGGAAAAACTTTTATAGCAAAAATACACTAGTTTACCTTGCCGATATAAATCGCAAAACATTCTGGAAGATAAATGTTATTTTTATGCAAAAAGGATGGGTTACGTTCTTTCTCCTAAACATATTCAAATATTTCGTATTTGTGAGTAATTCGCATCAAAAGATGATAGACACATCAGTTTGTTTTAAATTGTTTATAGTAACGTATGTTTTTCGAATATCGCAGCGTATTTGTTCAATTACTCACAAATACGAAATGTTTGGATTTGTTTAGAAGAAAAAACATAACCTCGGTTTTTCGCATAAAAATAACATTGATCTTTCGGAATCATTTGTGATTCATATCGTCAAGGTAAACACGTGTATTTTGCTATCAAATGCTCTTTTAACGGACCCTGTATATTGCTCAATAAACTAGTAGTGATAGCCGGAAAACAGGTGTTTTGGGATAAACAATTAGAGATTCTCAAAAAACTACATGACCAATATACTCCAATTTTGTTGTTGTTATTTGTATGATTCCTACGAATTTTAAGAATTTCAAGTAGTTGGATGAAATTATCGTCTCGTTACCAACAAGTGCCAAAACCTGCATTTTGCCTCGTTTTCCGGCCATAACATTTTTTTTACGTGTGGTCTCATTTTGTAGTTCTCATAAATACCTAAAGATCTTATATGAAAAGCTTCTGTCAACACTTTTGGTTGAATCCCAAAAACCACGTTTTCTCATTATTTGTTGTCAAGTAAAAAAATTCCCGCAAAAATTGAATGCGTCCATATTTTAAATACCCCGTTGAACAACTTGCACCAATAAAACCAGACTTTACAATTATTTCTGAAAAATTTGCTAATGTGGTTAGACTTAACACGTTCACGACGACAACGCATGGAGTGAAATACGACTATAGCCGATAGTTGTTCTTATGGTTTTTTTAGTGCAAATGTACATTTTCTGTAATATAATTGCTAGAAAATATGTAAGTGAGTATTATTTTGACCTTTGAATCCCTTTTTAGATATGTACCACCGGTGGTACACGACGGCATAGATGATTCTTTTTTTCGTTATAGCCCTAGTGTACCACCGGTGGTCACTGAGGGAAATGGGTTCGCATAACCATATTTTTATTTTGTTTCAGACTTAACACTCTATGATGGCTTTTAGAGGAAAGAAATTAGTTGCACTGGCCTTTACAGATAATGGGGAGTCCTCAGTAGTACATGTTGCACGAATGATGAAATGTCGCAACCACCAACCTCATCTACAATGGAGCATTGTGAGATCTCGCTACACCCCTGGCCATCATCTCAATCTGCAGCCGGCTTTCAGCAATCAGTCTCATCTGCAGTTGACCAGGATGGGATTCTCCAACATCCTCAGCCATCAACTTCATCTACATTGACGCACATTCCACAAAATGATCATTTGTCTTCTGTCGTATCACGTCATGCATATTATTCATCATCGTCAGAATCAGAGCCTTTCCAGGATTCAGGAGAAACCTACGTCCCTTCCAAAGACGAGCAAGATAGTCTATCAGAGGATGAACAATCTACTGAGTCCAGCGGCGATGATGAGAGTATCGAAGTCCAGTCCTATGGAAATGTTGATGCCGCTGCAGATCAATGGGAACCATGCAGAGATATACCCCTCAACTTCCAATATACAGGAAATGGTCGCATAAAGGTGGACACAATAGACCTTTCAGATCCGTATAATATTTACAGACATTTTTTTTTGCGACGAAGTGCTTGATATTATCGTTTTAGAGACCAATCGTTATGCGGCTCAGTATATCCAATCGCATAATCTTCGTCCGCGTTCGATGTTTCGTAAATGGAAGGACACAAACCGCAGTGAAATGAGAAAGTTCTTTGCTATCCTGATTGTCATGGGCATATACCATTTGCCACAAACCCGGTTGTATTGGTCGAGTAATGACATGTATGGTAACATGCAAAAATAATGAAGCGTGACAGATTTGACTGCCTGTTGAAATTTTTGCATCTGTCCAATAATGAAGACCCCCTTGCAGATACTGACCAGTCTTTTCAAATTGAAACATGTTGTAACCCTCATTTGTGACACTTTCAAAAAAACACTTACACCCGCTGAGAAATTGTAATAGACGAGAGTATGGTGCCATGGAGGGGCCGCCTCATATTCCGGCAGTATCTTCCCGCAAAGGCACATAAATATGGTGTAAAATTGTAGAAAATTTGTACTCCCGAAGGTTATACGTTCGTCATACGTATATATGCAGGAAAAAATGTCGGAAATGCTCCGAATAATGATCGTGGGATACTTATAACGTTTGTATGGATTTACTACAGGATCTGTTAAACGAAGGACGCACGCTCTATATTGATAACTTCTATACAAGTGTCCAGTTATGTAAGGCTCTTTTGAACTGTAAGACTTACGTTTGCGGCACAGTCAGACAAAATAGAAAGGGAAACCCACCCACAGTTTGCAAAAAAAAGCTTCGGAAGGGAGAGGTATTTGGACAACAGAATCAGAATGGAATTAGAGTGATGAAATGGTTAGACAAACGTCCTGTCTTGATGATCAGCACGTGCCCAAGCCACCAGGCAGAACTCAAGGCAACGGGAAAGAAAACTAGAAAAGGAGAAGACACCTTCAAGCCTCAAGCAGTCATTGATTACAATAATGCTAAGAAAGGAGTCGACATTTCAGACCAAATGTCCAGCTATTATACCTGTATCAGAAAAAGTATCAAGTGGTATAAAAAAGTATTCTTTGAAATACTGCTTGGCACATGCATGGTGAACTCGTGGGTGATTTACAATTACTATGGCAGAAATGCGAAAAAACTTTCTATGCTGCAGTTTCGTGAACAAGTTGCAAGGGGCTTGTTGGAGGAAGAAGACATTGAAGAAAATATAGAACCTGAAGATATTGCCGCTAACGTGCCCGAACAAAGAGCGACAAGGAGACCTCGAGCTACTAGCTGAATCGCTCATCATAAGATGCAAAAATATGATGGCACGGTAAGAATGACTCGGAAGAGATGTACCTCATGTCACCGAAAACTCCAGAGCACAAGCGGTGTCAAAGAGGCTAGAAATAAAGCCAAGCGTGTTTCTACATTTTGTAAAGATTGCCCAGAGCAACCGACACTATGCCTTCAATGTTTTAATGAAATTCATAAGTAACACCTACCTAAATATATAAGTACTTATTTCCAATGTTAGAAAAATATTTTTGAGTTATTTTTCACTAAATATTCTAACTTCTTACCTAGTTCAGTTACTCAATCTGGTTGTTACAATGTGTTTTACAAATAAAATAATATGAAACTCATGGATTTTTATACCTCTAATTAGATTTCCTATACAATTCACAATTATAGCCAGATGCGACACCGGTGGCACACGAATGTATGCTTACTATATTTATAGCCGTATGCTGAATATACAATTCCCTACTATAAACGGTAAGGATTGGAAGCGCAAGAAATAATCAACTGGCAGTGTACCACCGGTGACCACAGACGATTTTTGGTAAGATATGCGATGTACCACCGGTGTACCACGTCGTCGTGAACGTGTTTTATATAAATGATGAGATATTAATCTATTTCTGCAAAAAATTGTAGCACTGGAATTCTAAGCATTGCAGATGGCTGGACATGGTCCCATAATCAGCTGACGACTTGAGAAGACATTTCGATGAACAAGGAGATTGTGCATTAGAATGCGGAGATATATGGCGGAGATGCATATACACTGATTTTAAATAAGTAAATCGTACTGTCAATGATACTAATCGGTAGTCTCCGAGTTACGTCTTTCAACCTCTACACAACGGCATCGCGTACCGCCCATAACCCGGTCGCTCCGATAAGGAGTTTGGTTCCATCTCGGATATTTTTTGGAAGTGCGAATATAGTATTAGGTTGGCTTCTTCGAATAGAATACCTGTACGTTAATGAATACTAGCGCTAGAACAACTTGGCCGTATCCAGAATTCGAACTTATTTCGGCTGCGGCAAAGAAATCGGAACAAGTATAAGTGAACAGTATTCGTAACTTACTATTCAAATATAGGGGGCCGGGTATTCCGGTGTGTGTCGGTGTCGGCCGCTAGTGCATTGGCTTGAAGGCTGGCAAGCTGAAACCCTTGCACTGGAAGTAGTATTTTGAGCCATGGGTGCCGTTTGTCTGTACAGGTTTTACATGTAGGTACATACCAGATCGGTGCAAGATCAAATGGGTACCTCGCATTGTTGGAATTGGTTTATTCCACATAATCAGCTGCCAGGTTTCAGTGGATTCACATATGAAGTAGCACAGTTTTGGTACAACGGAGTAGACAAACAGCGCCAAAAGTGGCCTAGTTCTCAGGCTTCGTCTCCCGGCCCTACATTCAATAAATATAAAACTTCAACGTGTAAAAGGGGTCCTGATTCAACCGGCAAGTACATTTTCTTTTTACATAAGTAAATGTATTATTTAGTGTTGAAGGAATATATCCTATAGACAGGTGGAATTGACAAGAAGGATTAGTTGCCACAAAACGAATATTTATTTTTTTATCCTCCGCAAATAATCTTGACAACCATGAGTCTAAATTATACCCAGAATTAGCTTATAATATTTTTCTGAGTTTATGAAAGTAAACTTGAATTTGACCTTGACCTCCAATATCATTTCTTAACCCATATTTTGACAGCTCAATTGGGTAATCATTAATAAAAGAATCTCGGGAAACCCTGAGCCTAAAATAAATTTCACCTAGAATTGCTCACTCGCTATTTGATGATGACCTTAACATTGACTTTGACCTGTAATATTATTCCAGATCAATTCCATTTTTTATTCCGTAAATTTTGACACCGGAAACGGATAGAGCAGAAAATTCTACATTCAGATGAGTAAATGACCTCAAAACAACAGACCTTGAAGCTCATCATTAACGTCAAGTATGTATCGCTGAAATGACCTTGAAAACTGTCAGCCTACACAAGATCCTACGCAGGCATAGGGTTAGAATTAACTAGTTTTGCCTTAACTGGCTGGATTTATAACTTGCCTCGATACAATCCAGCCAGTCAAGGCAAGGATGCTGTCACTAGTTTACTCAACCTTGATCATGACCTTGCAGGATCAGGTTTTTTAAATTTTCACGCATGAATATGAAATTATAACCTTTTAGCCTGCCTATTTTTAATTTCAGAAAAACAAAAATACTCAATAATTAACATCGCCTTGTAATAGTTTTCAATCAGCATCATCTCAATCACTAATATGACTAGGTAAAAATGATAATTTTGTCCATAACCTTCAAAGGTCAAATTTCTGCTGTCAAAAATATCGGGCCTCATAGCTCACAAGAAATACACTTGGCCTCCAAATTATTTTGGCAAAATCAAGATCAAATTGACTCAGATAAGCAGGAAGAAATCCTACACCTATGCTTGGATGAGAGTTCTTTTAGATTGGTGGTTTTTGGGATTACTTACTATATCTGAGCTCTTCATAATAACACACTTAAAAAAAGTATTTAATCCATAATATAAGATGCTTATGAATTACGATATGATATTTTAAAAAGTGGATCGAAAATATTTCTGTATTTTTGCAATCTCTTAAAAGCTGAACTTTCCCGCCTGTCGTATTACCATTCTCTTAAAAAGGCGCAACGATTTTCATAAATACAATTTAGTACGTAAATAGCTAGACGATTATACTATGCAAACGAATGAACGTATAGTTAGCAGAGCAATTGCTTTATTTTCTTTATTTGTTGAGCACTCAGTGTTTCGCAATGCTGCAGCCACGTTGCTGAAGACATAAATAATTCAAAAAAGGAGAATTACCAGGGAGATATAGCGATTATGGTGCTTTTAACAGCACCAGTTCGCATGACATTACCTTTTGTTAATAATGCACATTTAATCAAAAGTGTTGGAATACAGTCCAAGTAAGCTGTTTTCTGAATAGAATGTTAACCACAGAGCTTCAATAGCTCCCAATTACCGACATAAACCAGAGACGCATTAAAGAGCTTGCACTTAGAGTATCTGAAGTGGCCATTGGTTTGCTGTATCTGCAAGTTACCTTAATTGTCACATGAACCTGTGAACTATTAAGCAAGCTCCTGAGAAGTTAGATGAGGAAATATGCGAGAAACACGCTTGGTTCGGGACACTTGCAGAGACAGCAAACCAATGGTCATTTCAAATACTCTAGGTACTCTTTAGTAACAAAATCATAGCGAAATCAATTTTATAAAATTGCACCACCTTGGAGGCTTAAGGGGCCGTTCAAGTATTACGTAAGTAGATTTATTACAACCATTTACCCCCCATCCCCCTTGTCAGCAAAAGTAAGCAAAGCTCTTACCCCCTCCCCCCATGCTTACGTAAACATTTGTCAATTAATGTATTGTTTTTTTTTAATATTATAATTATAACGTTATAATTATAATTTGAAAAATAAGAAAATTTATTTAGGATAGAGATTATATTTTACTGATGCGGTAACATAGAGTAAAGGACAAACATATTATATCTTACTAACATAACAAACTTATTTTAAATTTTTGGTACATATATTAAATTCAAATTAACAGTCTTCAGTCCATGAAACCCGAATCCACGATTCTAAGTTTTCGATGACATTGGATTGCTTCGATTGCTGCTCAGTGTTGTGAGTTTGCTCGCTTTCATCGGATTTTGGAATGTCTACGTCGTTCTCATCGAGCCATTCAACATCATGGTGCTCTAAATTTTGAATAATGCACATCAGTTCATTAGCACGACGAGTAGCGACTCTTACAGGTCTAACTTTCCTATCAGTGTGCGTGTTTACTTTTTTATGGATATTTTCGATGTGACGATTTAGTGACTTGACGGAAGCATGATAAAGACCACACGTTTTGCATGTTCGACTTGAGCCTCAATTTTACCGTCGGACAAAAATAACCGTAGGGCATTTGTAGGAAATCTTTGAGTGAAGCACTTAAGCGTAGAGCTAAATTGACGCTAAGTGGCTCTTGTGGTGATCAGTTTGAGCCCGAATAAGCTTAACAGGGACTGCCGATACATGTCTTCGTCCCTCTGCAGAATTAGATTTTCTGGGAATAAAACGAAGATATGTCCCACTGCGACTAATGTCAAATCCTATTTTACGTAATTCTTGTGCGAGTTCATCAAGAGTTTTTACGTTGCGAATTGATTCCGTTCGTCTTCTATCATCTGCTGCACTCCCAAATAAAGCTATATCCGCGATTTTTTTCAATAGTGAATGTTGATTGCTTTCAAGATTAGGACGTCCCACTGTATCCCTCACAGATAGTCTTTTTTTTATTTCTGGATTTTCATGACAAATATCTTCTAACTTTTTTTTCATACCATCCCTGTGTTTCTTCTGGGCAACTGCGTTTTGAACCTTCCTGTTTAAAGGCTGTTTTGCTGTTTTTATTTCCTCGCGCAATTTAATGATGTGTTTATCAACTTCAGCACGGCTTGGCATAGTATCTCTGGCAGAATACAAAGCATTCAGATTTTTTTCGAGTAGAGCAATCTTATTTTTCATAGCTTCCTGAGAGGGTTTTGCTCTCTGTTTATCTGTATTTTCATTAATTTCGCATTGCTGTTGTGATTCATTACCGAGTTTTATTTTATCTTCTTCCTCTTTTTTAATATTTGAAGCTAACTGTATAATTTGTGTTTTCTATGCAGGTTTACAGGTTGCGTATAAATAAAAACTTTCTATGGCTTCTGCTAAAGATTCTCTTATTAAGCTACATAAATACAAAGTATGGCAATATGTATGGTAAATACAAAACAAAATCTAATATGTTTAAACAAGCAATTCGTTCCGGTCACAAAATACAGGGTGTTAGTTTTCTGTATATATGTATAAAACTAACATCCTGTACTTTGTGACCAAGTGACGTAATCAATCATAAGAAACAAATCTATAATATAATGAATATTTCCTCTATA